CAAGCATCGTTCCGCGCCCGACGCAGGCCTGTTTTGGTGTTGCCTTGGCTCGACTCTGTTATGGGGTTCCGGTGCGTTCAGGAGGAGCCTGATGTGTGTTGGTTTTCCTGCAGGGTCGGGAGGAGGAGGGGGAGGAGGAGAAAGGGTAGAAGCGAAGGGGGAGGAGGGGGAGGGTGACAACTGGCAGGCGTAGGAGTGGAAGGAGGAGGACAAAGACAGCAAGAGGGAGTCGTAGTAGTGCCAGGAGGAGCGCGATGAGAGGGGTCAGGATGACGAGCAGAAGAGGAGGAACGGGATGAGGAGGGGGAGCAGGATGAGGGGAAGGAGGAATGGGAGGAGGAGGGCCAGGACGACGGGCAGGAGGCGGAGGACATAAAGACGAGATGAGGCACAGAGGAATGATGGCGAGCGGAAGGAGGCGGTTGATGAATGGGAGGAGCAGATGCGGAGGCCAGAGGAGGAAGAGGCAGGAGGAGCCAAACAAGGAGGGGGAGGATGCAGAAGCAGTAAGATGACAAGCGGGAGGAGGACGACAATCAACGCAAGGAGTGGCGGGAGGAATGGAATGAGGATGGGGGCGGCGAGCGCCAGAGCAGCGGGAGGAGGTAACGGCGAGGAGCGGGAGGTGGAGGACGACGAGGTTGGGTAGGACGATGAGCGGAAAGAGGAGGGGGAGGACGAGATGCAGGATGATGGGGCTCCTGCTCCTCCCGCTCCTCGTGGGCAACAATGAACGAAAGGAAAGCGGGAAGAGGAGGGAAAGACGAACAAGAGAAGACGGAGGACGACGAACAGGACAAGGAGGGGGCCAAGGAGGAGGGGGAGCAGGATGTGTCGGCGCAGGAGATGCTAGAAGAGGGGAAGGAAGATGAGGTAACCAAGGAATAAGTGGACGGGGAGGAGAAGGTGGGCAGAGAGGAGGATGTGAAGGCGAAGCAAGGGATGGCAGGAGGAGGAGGGGCGGAGACGGTGACATGAGGAGGCCGTTGCAGAAGAGTGGGAGGACGGGCCGTTTGTGCTTCAGGCATACGGGGAGAAGAAGGATGGCGAACAAGAGGAGAGAGAGGAGGAGGGAGGACAAAAAGCAGGACGAGAGGGGGGCAAGCAGGACGGGCAGCAGGACGTGTTCGCGGAGGAGAAGCCGGAGGAGAGGAACAAGGATGAGGTAACGAAGGAGGTGGAAGTGGGCAGGGAGGAGGATGTGAGGTCGGACTAGGGGGTAGCAGGAGGAGGATGGGTGCAGAAGGTGGCATAAAGAGGAGTGGGAGGAGGAGTAGGATGGGGAACCAATGAGCAGGACGAGGAGGAGGGCACGCAGGGGGGGGGCAGGATGTGGCGGCAGAGGAGAAACACGGCGAGGGGAAGGAGGATGAGGTAACGAAGGAAGAGGAAGTGGGCAGGAGGTGAGGGTGGAGCTGGGAGTGGCAGGAGGAGGATGGCTGGAGAAGGTGGCATGAGGGGCAGTGAGAGGACGAGCCGGTTGTGCTTCGTGTCTTTTTTTTTTTTCTTTTTTTTTTGAAGACACATGATTGTGCTCCGTCTCGTATTCGTGAGACCTGACAGAAGATGGGGGGCAGGAAGAGGTGTGCAGTGGGCATAGCCGCGGCGGCCTGACTTGTTTCTTCAAAGGCGTTGTTCACCTCTCCCCTGCCCCATACTTCTGCCCTATTCATGCACTGCAGAAAAGACAACCGAAGAAGGCAAAAACAAAACAAGAGTTTCTTTTGGGTTGCCTCAACCAATACTGCAAGGAAACAACCAATAAGAACACAAATTTGCCAAGCTGCAAAAGACCCGAAGCAGGACAGCACACTGAAACGGAAGTTCCTTGACACATAAAGCCGAGAGCATACCAAATGACAGCACACTGACACTGAAGTTCCTTGTGATATAAATAAAGCCCAGCTTCTCGCCTCACTCGTCAATACAACCACAATGTAGCAGCTCCACTATGAGGTGACCACCTATACAACTCCACTACTCTCTTTATATATACAGCCTGCTTCTCTCCCTTTCACTCTCTCTTTTTGTTCACACTCATCTCGCCTAGCAATCCTGCAGAGTCTAGTGTGCTCCTTGGCAATCACCAGGTAAGTCCACCTGTCCCCACTGTTGTCCTTCTCCCCTGATCACCCCAGCCCCAGTGGCACCTCGATTCCTACCAGCGAAGCTATGGCTGCCACTGGTGGAGCAGCTGACCGTGGCTGCTCCTCCCCTTCTTCTTCAATGAGCACCGGCCTGGCTGCATATGCTCTCCACAGAGCTAGTGCTGGAAACCACTGCCTCTGAATGTGTGGACTGCTGTGGCCTACTCCTTTTTGTCACTTTCTGGAGGTTGCCGTCGCCTGGACTGAGTCTGGGCTCTTCTCAGAGCCACCGAGTTCCCAGGGCCAGCCTCTGCAACTAACCGAGAGGCAGGACCTAGCGTTTAGTTGGAGAGGTAGCACCCAGCCTGCCTTCCAACTGTGTCAAGCCAGCCTTCGCTCAGGGCCGGTGTACTTTCCTTCTGCCACAGCCTTCGCTTAGGGACCGACCCATTTTTTCTGTGTAGCCCTTGGTGGAGGCCTGCCGACGCCTGAAGCCTCTCAATACCTTCTTGAATGTTGACAAACACAACTTCCTCCCTCATTCTGCACTAACACGCAAGCAAGCTCCCTTCTAGCTGGGGATAATGCAGCACATCATCTGAGAGGGACTTACACCTTCCCAAGAAAACACCTACAACTGGCCAATTCTAAGGGACCTCGAAATTGGACTGTGGAGCTGATAAAAATTACATCATGCAAAGTTACCACAAATTGAGAATGGCATTGATGTGCAAGAAAACCGCACAAAATTAGCATCGCAAAATATAGACCCAAAATGCTGACCAACTTACCCTGCCAATAGGACGAGTCATCTTATCATCCTCAAAGAAAGAAGGGCAGAAGTTCACATTTCCTGCAATCGGCCGATCGGTCAGACGATCAAAAGCGCAAGCTCCGGCATGTGCTGCTGTTGTTTGCCCACATGCGGGTGTTTGCTGTCCAAGGATTGCACACAATTGACGAGTGCAGCATGAAATGGAAAGCAACGAGAATTTGAGACACCAGCACATAACACCGTAAACATTGAAGGCAAGCATCATGCAAATCAATGTCAGCACCATCTTGAAGTTGTCATCATTACCTGTCAATATTTTGCATATCACCAAACAAAGAAGATTCAAATGGTCCACGTAATGCACCAATGGATCGGCGTAGAGAATCCATCGCTAGAGAATGGCATGAAGCCTAATAGCAGAATACAGCCCTTCAACTGTTAAAATTGCAAGTGGATCTTCTCATAGATGGCGAGAAGATAGACCAGTCGCTATTCAGCATCGCATACATTCTCTTTCTATGAGGAGCTCCACTCACCATTTTCATGTTTCATGAACAGCGAGGCCCTATGAAACAAGACAAAAGCCTGCCCAGAAGACAACTGCTTCTAAGGTACACAAATTGGATTGTTACGACCAACACGTGATTATCCCAGAAAGCATAAGCAGCAGCAGGTGCACTGCATGAAGTCCGCAGAAATGGCAACCAAAGCATAAACAGCAAACAACCTACCCAGAAAACAACTGCGTCAGCGCTCGTCAAGTTCCACCACGCATACATCAATGAACATTCACATGAGAGTTCACACATGAGAAGCCAAACCGAGATGCATTCAACACGTGAAGATGTCGTCCCCAAAATTATTATCAATATACAAGAAATGCTTGCCTCCAGGGGCTCCGCCACACACACACACAACGGATCGCAAACAGGTGGTGGCTATGGCTTCTCTCTCCCTCTCCATCTCTTGCTTCTCTCTCTAACTTGGCTC